GTTTAGAAGAAGGTAAGGAATGTAACAATACAATTGTAATGTGTTAGTTTATATGGAAACAATTGACAATTGAACCACATTGGCTCAAGTAATCCATTCCTAAGTCAGAAACTGCATAGAAAATGATTGAAATATAATGAAATCAAAGGGAGTTGGATAACATTCCCTCTCTACTTCATTTGCCTCTTCCTAATCAAATGTAAATTTTCAAGCAAAAGGGACAAAAAAATGGTAAACTACCTTTCACAATCCTCTCCTCTTGGTTGCTTCGGGCAGGACTCATGAGGAAGATTGTAATACAAGCTAAAAGTTCATTTTTTGGAAGGTCATATCTTATGCACCGCCATGTCATTTTGAGCTCCTTTTACATGACCAAACTTGAGAAACTGAAGGAAAACGAAATGTGCATCAGTATTTATTTTCTGTATGTGTCACATATAAATGAGGCACATGAAGAACAAGAACCACCTTCTCTGGTGAGCTAAGTTTGGATCTGCCTAAGAGAATGAATGACTCTGCACCAGACACTCTAAGGCTTGAGCAGCCGAGCAACCACAGCCCATGAGAGCTCACTCTAAGGGACAGTGAAATCCAGGGCAGTGTATTCTGCTTCCAGGCTCTGAGTGGCACTGAAGAAAACATGATCCCCTCTGTCTTTATACAGATCAAATTCTCAGCCTTCTGAAGGGGAACACTGAACACAATGATTGTTTGGAAGAATTCCTAGGACAAGCACCCCTCCTTTCTCCACTGGTAATTCCCAGTCATGGAGTTCCCATGGACAGTATTCACTACTGTATGCACAGTGTGTACACTGTCATGTCCAACGAATAATTAGACAACTGTAACAATTGTTATGAACTGCCCCATACCATAGGGATCATCATACTGAACATTACAGCTTCAAAGAGTCACGGGACCAATCTGAGGGTTTTGGAGGCTAGCAGATGTGTAGGGAGCTCTGCTGGGAGATGAGTGTCATTGGAGCTGTTGCTTAGTCAGAAACCACTAGTAACCATAAGTCACTGAGAGCAGAGGAAAATATGGGAAGTAGTGGAAGGAGACCCGTTTTTGCCTTACATCATTCCCTAAATGGAATTTCCATTGAAAAATGTAAAAACAAAGCATAACTCTCAGCTTTTTGCTGTGTCAGAGTTTATAAGTGGCAGATTTAGAATTGAAGGTCAAAGGGGAAAAGCATAAATCAAATCATGAGGTGACTCATGATTTATCATTTGTTTTAGTAGAGTCAAGCTTGTACTTTGGTGTATTTACCATGAGCTTGGCATAATGCTAAATTTCATCTGTTTTAAATATTTTAAATATCTAGAACTTAAATTGTCATCTTTTTAGGGTTTGGGAGGAAGAACTGATTCAAATGAGTTCAGTTCACCTAAACCTGGATTATATCAGAATGGAGGCTTCTACACTGAAGAACTTTTAGCACCTAATGAGTGCTCAGTAAATTATACTTGACTAATCACAAAAGGGAATGCCTAAACATGATTCAGAGTCCCCATTTCATAATTTGTCTCTGAAGGATTCCTCTAGCTGGGAACTCATACTTATGTTCATTTTTTCCAGCTCATTACCTTATCGTAGATATTTCCATTCAGAAATTCTATGTAAGAGTGATTTTAATCATATTACATTGAAATTCATGCCAGGACTAGCTGGTATTCTCAGGGTGCTACAGCAGGTATTGTATGTATATAAAAGCCATATTTTAAAAGAAAGTTTCCAATTATAGGGAAAGCAAGTGCTGCTGCCAGCTAAACTGACAGTCCCTACAAATATAATTTGCCAGGTAAAACAGTCTTCTTCATCCTAGACCACTGCTTACGAAATGGCTTGGACCGTCTGTTTAAAATTATAGCCTCAGAGTTTCCTTGAACTGTGTTGGGGATATCTTTTCCAAGTTTGGTATTCTCAGTGTGCCAACTTAACCTAAGTCCTTTATACTTAGCTACTACTTTTCACCAAAGTATCCAGGATCTTTACGTTTAAAAAACAAGTTTAGGATATTGAAAGCTACTTGCACACTGGTAGTTTGTTGTCAGAACTAATTGGATGATATAAAATTGTTTGTTACTGAATTTAAAACCTCAGGAGGTTATGTCTAATTCTTCCTAGTGAATTGAGATGGATACCAATGACAAACTTTGTGTGCTAAGATTTCTTGCTATTGCCATTAAGACAATGTCTTTCCTTAGCTACGGACAGTGGCAAAATTCAAAAAAAAATTTTTTTTAATTAATGAAAATTCTGAAAGACAACTATATTGAAAAAAAAAAGCAACCATATCTTATATTCTCCAACAACTATGTTGGTATATTTATTTTTGTCAGTCTAGCAAAATCTATTTTACATATCTGTTCTGTGCTTTTTTTGTAGTTATCTGTTAAGCAGATATTTAGGGAACATATGTTAGTCTAACTCCTAGATTGCTCACTTCTTACTTTATGTTATCCTCACCCAAATTGCATAAATTAGGAACCATAATTTATAGATGAGGAAACTAAAGTTAAGATGAGTTCAGGATAGGCATCGTGTCCCAATGTCTATAATCCTAGTGGCTCAGAAGGCTGAGATAGGAAGAGCTCAAGTTCAAAGGCAGCCTTGATAACCCAGTAAGACCCTTTCTCAAAATAAAAAATAAAAAGGGCTCAGAGGTTAAGCCCCCTTCGTTCAATTCATGGAATGAAAAAATAAAATAAAATGGAAAAAAAATAAAATAAAGTTGAGTTCAGTAAGTCACAAGCCATACAATTAGTAAAGGATGGATTGAGATTCACATCCAGCTCTGTCTGATTTCAATGGCTATTTTTAAGTATATTTTTCCTATATATTGTTAATATTGCAAAGAAAGTCCAAACACAAAAATGTTTGGGGATAGATCATGCACAAGGGTAACAAACACTTTTCTAAGAGAGAGGAGGGAAAAATAAACCCTTAGTTACTTTTCATGGATCCTAGTAATCTGGGCATTTACATTTAAATTCAACACAGCTCTAGACTATTGAGACCTAAAGCAAATGTCACCTTTGTCACAGACATTTGTCAATCCTAATTGAACCACTATGTTCATCTCTCATGTGTGTAGAAGCAAACAGATGTGCAGACCCTGCAAAGCACAGAGGAGCTTATGTTGGAGACTGTTTTGTCCCAAACTTAACATTCAAATTCTCTGGGGAAATAGGAAGTCACTGAAGTTGTAGGCAGTTCTAATAAGAGCTCAAAGGGTTTTAATATTTTTCTCCAACATATGGACAACTATTAAGAAACAGGCTATAGTCCAAATATATTCATTTTGATTTAAAATGAACTGGAATTGATGGATTCAGATTTCCTTACTACAAGTTTAATTATATACAGTTTTAGCTTGGACTTAGGAGTCAGGTGGCACATGTTGAAAATCTCACCTATATCAACAAGTATTCTTTTCCTTCATTTCTCTGAAAAGTTAGGATGATAATCTCTCTAACACGGCTGTGACATTGGATAATCCATGTGAAACTCAGGACTGTGCCTGACTAATTGTTTGCATTTGAGAAATGTCATCAGTTCAACACTGGAACAGATTAATTAATGGACTCCATAACTTGTGAATATATTTTCTTTATTTTTAATAGAATTATCTACATTTCATCCTGCTGCAGCTGATTTAAAATTTAAAAAATCTTCAAATACAATCAATTTAAGAACATTGTTCCTAGACTTTCGTCTCATTGTTCCCCGTAGTACACGTACTTCTGATGATTTGATTCAACATTAATAGCTCTCATGTTCTTATTTTGCATCAGTTGCCATAATTTAAAATACTAATCATATCTCATAGTATCAAGTCATTTTAATAATGTACCCAGAAGATTTCAAATTGCAGTGTTGAAACTACAAAATAAGAACCATCCAGCAATGAACAAATAATTAAGTCAAATGTGCACTGGAGAATCAGAAAAGATGGTTCTAAGACCTTGTCCCTTAGTTGGTTTTTGACTTTGGGAAAAATGTTGGGAAAACCACTCACGGTCTCGGGTCTCTGACTCAGCTTTCTCAAGTGTAAAATAAAGAACATAATATCTGCTAGGCTTTTCTCCAAGGGTATTGTGAAATAAGATAAAATATGTGAAAGCCCTCTGTAAGCTCTATAGTTTGAAAGCATTAAGAACTTGTTTATTTAATTCCTCATTGTGTGAGATAAGATAAAATAAGCACAAGGTCCTGTAAACTATGTAGTGTGAAGTGCACCTGAGGGTGTAGGTAAGCTTATTAATTAATCCTTCCTGATGGGGGCACTGGGTGATGATCTGGGGTTTTGCCACAGTATAGTGATTTTCCAGGAAAGATAGTACACAACACCAAGTGAAATCAGATAAAGGTCAAATAAATGGTCTTGGGAGTATACACTGTAGGTGTCCAGAGTAGGAAGGAAAGTCAGGGAGTGGCTGGAAGCTTCAGGAAACACAAAGAAAATGGGCGGTTTGACCCCAGCAGGGAGGCTGATTGGATGAAATTAGCCTAAAACAGAAGCTGCTTAGGGTTCTGGTGGGGGTGGGGATGTCCCTGTGGGATGAACAGCCCAGTGATCAAACATCACCAGTACTGAAGACCTCAAAGGCTGCAGAATGTGGAATGGACGTTCTGGATGTGACAGAGCTCTCCTGCCGAGAAGCAGTAGGAGATGGAACTTGCAAGCTGAGGCAGTCTAAATGGAATGCCAAGAGAATGACGTGCTTTGTTAGCACATCACATTTAACAGGAAGGCCACTGAAGGATTTTTGAGCAGAATGATGTGGTAAAAACTGTGAACTCTTGCTTCAGACAAACCTATTACTAATCCAAATTGGCCAATGCTTTCAGCCAATGTTTTTTTAGGCAACGAGCATGGTGCAGTGGAAAAAGTGTTCGACTGGGAGTCAAAGAAGGACCTTTGGAATGTGAGGTCACTTTTGTGGACCTACCATTGTGCCAGCGTGGCAGGCAAAGCCATCCCTTATATTCTGACTCTTTCCTGACACTTCTGGAACTGTATCTGCCACATTTTTGCTTCATTGAATTCCTATCAGTGTTACTTCAGGTCACACAAAAGCAGATGAAAAGGGGTTTTCACCTTAAAGTGCTCAAAGGGGTTTGAAACTGCCTTGACTGCTATTAATTCTTTTTTTCCACTTTGATTGCTCAATCTCAGTTGGTCACATTGCCTTTCAGTATTGAGTGTGTTACCACATCACAATTAGAAGCACATGATTACATTTTAAGTGACGATTTCCTGCGCAGATTCATCACTGAAGTGGCCTTTGTGGCCAGCAAATTCCAATTCATACTTAATGCTGTTTTAACCTTAGATAGATTCTTACTATTCAAATTATCTTAAGTCAACTTTTGTTTTCTGTATTTGCTAAGGATTATGTCAATACTATTTCTGGCCCTTTCTGGGCCAAAAGCATTTGGTTCAAAGACTATTGGTGGATTCCATATTGACTACTGATTATTTAGGGAGGATGTGCTAGCAGTAATATTTTTCTTTTCTTTGTTTCTTTAACCAGGAAAAGTAAAATTATTCTGCCATCTGTCTTCAGTTTGTCAAAACTGAGAAGAGGAGTGAACTGATGTTTTCACATATTCTTAATTTTTATCTCAGCTTCTAGAGAGTGGCAGAAACTTGACCTCTCCTACAAATATTGAGATTTGGAATCACCATTGTGTAAGCCATGCTCTGCACAAACTAATTAGTACACAGACTACAAATCTGCTACAACTCTTCAGTCAATACATAGGACTGAGGAGAGTACACTAGTGAAATTATTAATAAAGTATGAAATAGAAGTATGAAATAAACCCACAGCCATGTTAAAGAATCAAGAATCACAATTACTTTCTAGTTTATTCTTCTTACTAAAATGCTCAGAAGTGAAATTATTTGGAATTGGGCATCAAGATGATCATCATATATTCTTAGGTTTTCAACTAAACATAGTAATTCTGCTATGATATTTCTTTGGAGAATTACTTACATAATTTCTTGTCTTTTAGATAAGTTCGAGGTAATTAAAAGGGTTTTTTGGGGGGGAAAAAGTCTAAATCCTGTTAAGAAAATCAGGAACTGTTACTGAAACAAGATAACAAAAACAAAAACAAACAAACAAAAAAACAAACAAAACCTCATGGACTTCTAGTGATCCTAAAAATATCTCCTGTCACTTTGTGACTTTTTGAAAATCATACTTTTGTAAATTGCATTTCAAAGCCAGCACTTCTCCAAGATGATGAAATAAGTTGAAAACTGAATGTTTTCAACCAAAGAAACAATGTTTTTGCTGGAGGGGAGAAGAAAGGGAAAGATAAAATACTTAGAACTATACTTATTTCCAGGTAAAATTATGAATTCTCACTTTTTAAACTCAAGAGGTTCCTAATATTTGTGCTTATCTACGGCAAGATCTAGTGGTTTAAAAAAAACATGGTATTGTTTGTATTAAAATGGGGGGGGAAGGTATGTATATATTTTCATATATATATGAGTATGATTATGGATTTGTGAATCATAGAACATGTTTAGGAAACAAAAGAAAAAGGGTGTATTTTAATAGATTGTCACAGAAATCTGAACACAAATGAGAAACTAGACTGTGGATTAATTAAGCCAAATAGTTCATAAAAAGACAAGGCTGCATAGTTTAGAAGAAGGATTAGAGAGTGGAAGAAAACAATTACCCTTGTGTCATATGCCTGTGTGACCCTCCAGAACCACTCTCCTCCTCCTCCTCCATCTGCCCCCAGTCTCAAAAATGGATGGGCATTGACACCATCCACAAGCCCCATTGTAATCTGGCTTCTGGATGAGTTCGGGAACTAGTTACCTTTCAGGTTCTGTTAACTCTTTCTTTTCCTCAGCACTGAGAGTGCTCACAGTGGATGGCAGCTGGCCTGCATTCCTGCCCTATCTGTGGTGGTTGTCTTCCACTACACTCAAACACTTTTAAGCTGTCACTTTATAGACAAATATTCATAGAATTATCTCTTTTCTGCTGGGACCTTGGTTGATACTTTAATTGGTACCAGAAATTTCTTCAGGAAACAGACTTCTTGAAATGTGATCTTGGATTGGTGCATCATATATTTGAGGAATGTGTGACGAACTCATTTTGGGGGATAGAAGGAATCAGATAGGGTCTACGGCATATGGTGGCATAATAAATATTCAGGCATTCATTAGGGTTCACTTGGGATAATGTGCTAGCAGAAATCCAGTGCTCTGA